CTGTCGCAGACAGCGCTCATTATAACGACAAAAAATGAGAGAGTGCATATGTATGGTCTCTATTATTTTGTCTCAAACAATATATAGAATCAGGACAAAGTGGACGTGACGACGAATTTAATTTGGGTTTTCCTGTCGATATTTCATTTGCAGGCGCACTACATGATGATGCTCCGGTATTTTCAATATCCGAGTAGTACTCAGCGGATGGTGGCTTAGGGGATTCTGGTTGGCCAACCGCTGCTATGGCAGCAACTAAGAGACGCTTCAATTTGTGGAACTCACGTCTATTTTTTGAAGAAAAATAAGTGAGTGTAAGTTTTATACCCAGGAGTTTTGGGCCCCCCCCCCCCCCCCCCCCCCCCCCCCCCCCCCATTTGAACCGTCATATAAAGCTATTGCAGATAGACGCTCGATTAGCAAGGGATTTTACCAGCCACAGACACTAAAAGAACAATAAATGTAAGCAAACTGTAGTGATTTTATATAATAGGTATCGACAAGAAATCAAAAGCTTGTAAATCTAAATGTAAAGCATTAAAATATTCATCCGCGTAACTGTCAGCCATGAAGTAATGGTAAGTCCACTATCAATAAAAGCAATACATTTATTCTACGATACTCTCGCAATTGAAACAAAAAATCCGGTTTTCATTTATATTAAAAGTTATTTTGTCGGCTTTTGACGTTGGTAGTGGATGCATCAGAGAAGAAATTACTTCAGAAGAAACGATTTCCATATATAAAATATCGCCAGAGATAGGTATATAAATAGAACTATTATGCTGATGTAAATAATTTATGTATTCTCGAATTTGTTCCTGCTTGATGGTTTGATGATGACTAGATTTTAAAGAGTCAATAATAAAAAAATAATGTGGTGTACTGTCAAATCGTCGTAGACAAAAATAATGATCTGTTTGATGAATAAATAAACCTTGTGCAAATTCAATGTTATTCATGATTTGTTGATAAACAGATGACGACATTTTATTCACACGATTCCATTGTATCAGTTCGATATTACACTGTCTTCTAAGGGCTTCTTGTACAACTTGAATATTGTAATAACCACTGTAAACATTGAAATATTCATTATCTATTGCAGATATATCTTCTCGAATCATTAATTCATCTGATGCTAATTGTCGTCCCAAACTTTGTAAAAATTCATCATCAAAAAATGTCGTGTTTTGCACAATTGCACGAAGAGCATGACGACCACAAAATAATCGTTGTTGTTTTTCACAAATAATGAAGTGTTCGGGGATAAGATCCTTAGTCACATCGATGTCGTTTAAAATTCTCACTACATTTGATGCTGTTTTGCATCGTTTATTCTCTTCAATCTCATTGTTTACATCATATTTTCTCTTTTGATTTTTTTCCTCGATACAATTCATATCAGACGAAACAGCACTGTTCAAAGCAGAATCATCTGTCTATAAATACATAAATGACATCTGGACTATCACAAAATCTTGATTTCCTCAAACTTTGTATCGTAAATAATCATCAAGTTTGACGGGGTTCTCATTTTCTATTTTTTGTAATCGTTCGATTTCTTGCAATCCGTCTCTTGAAACCTAACAACGAACTGCTTATCAATTAAATGTCAATGTGGACAAAAATCACTTTAAAAGACTGACGATCATAAGCCAATAGAAGAATATCTGTTATCCGTCGAGCTCTACTCAAAACTGTATAAAACATTCCAGCTTTCCAATATTTGCCTCCTAAATCCACAACCATTTTAGGATATGTCATACATTGAGTTCGATGTATCGTAATAGCATAGCCCAGAGCAAATGGCAACTGTAAACGAGTCATATTTACATTATTCATATCTTTGAATCGCGTTTCTTGAGGTTCAATCTTATATTCTAATCCGTTATCTAATTCTGAATAAAGATTATTTGCTAAGATTTGCTCATATACAATTTTTTTTCTTTTACCGACTACGACATATTTCGGTAATTTTGTATTAATTACATTGTTTAATGAATTAAAAGTGTCGTCTACTGCTATTGGCGATGAAAGAAAATTCCTTGGATCTTCCCATACAATCTCTTTTACAATTGCATCAGTACCATTGACAATGTAATTTTCTTGATCGATATTTCGTCTAATTAGAACTCGTGCACCAACACATAATGGGAAACGAGGATATAAAGAGCCACACTTATTTTCATCATTTGATGGTTTCAACTTTACTTTACAAGTCTTATTACTTGCAAAACTAGCTTTATAAAATGAATTATCAATCATTGCAACTTTCTATACGAAGAATCTATAAAGATATAGATGACGAAGCATAAAACGAGTACATTACATCCAATGCATTTATCATAAATATTGGATGTTTCGTCTGTCTGCAATGTTCTTTTAGCATTTCTAAATTTCTTGAATTTGTTAAGCGACGAGTACCATACGCGTATATGGCATCTTTAAATTCAACCGATTGTAAGTCTTTCAATCGTGCTTCATAACTATCTGGATTATCTTCCTTTCGAATACTTCTGGACTTTATCAATGCCTCAATTTCTTCATCCAAGCAACCTGTAGATTATCAATTAGTTACAAACACAAAATTATTTTGCAAGTTGACACACCTGTACGCATTCTACACAAGCAATCAAAGAATAATCGATCGTTTCCTTGTCTCATATTAATATCAAAATTGACAGGTCGAAATAAATCATGCCACAACGAAAACAATTCACCTCTCGGTCTGAAAAATACTTGTTTCGCAGCAACAGGTTCTATCTGAGCCATATCACCAAAGACAATAATAGGAATACCACCAAAATACACATCAGATTCACCTGCTGTCAGAAAAATTTCATTTAGACGTTTGTTGATCTTTTGAAATAGACAGTGCGAAACAAGTGAGATCTCATCGATAATAATTAATAATAGACCAGATAATCGATTGCGCAAGGTATAAAGCTTGAAAGAATTTAGATTCTTTGGTGATGAGTTATTATCTGGACACTAAATCACAATCTTCACACGTTCATACGATGTGTAACATATACTTACAATCGCTAAAGCTGAATGTATGGTGGATCCACGAATATTCAATGCAGCTTTACCAGTATGAGCCATTTTAAGTAAACCATAATTCTTTCGCGCACGTGAAATACCAGACGATTCAGCAATACAGTATTCTTTCATCATTTTTTCAATTATATCAATGACGTAAGATTTACCCGATCCAGCAAGCCCATTAACAACAATATGAAACGGTTTTGGTTGTATAACTTCGTGTGGGCGCCTAACGTGTTTCAATACATAATCAAAATAATTCTGGATAAATTCAAGTAAATATTTTTGTTGACAATTTGTTGAATCACGCAATTGCTTTAATTTTCGAAATTCTTCAATTTTAAAACGATCCCCATTTTCAACTCTATCTATTTCATCATTAATTGATAGACTTGCAATATTATCTGGATGTTTTATTTCCGATATGGGATTATTATCATCTTCCGCTTCAAATTCGTTAGGATTGGTAAATATATAAGACTCTCGATAATTAATCATGAAATTTTCATTATTAATACTAATTAGATGAAGTACCAGATTCTGCAATTGAATTCGATAACTCTCCGGAAGAGTTGTAATTCGTCTACATATCTCTGATTGATGACGAACGAGCGCTTGGTATAAATCCAATGTACTTGGTTCTAAAATCAAACATTGATTTATATTTATTTTGAAATTTCTACCAAACCTTGTTTTCCACATAAAAATTCAATGATTGAATTTCGATGAGGAACGTTCAAACATAAAATAGAATAAATCGATTGAGCAGTATTATCGTGCAAACAAGTGAAAGTAACACATTTCGGATATTGATGCTGACGCATTACATGACCCGACGAAAGAACAATACGTGGCAAACGTTTAGAAGTTCTCATCAAAGGCCCTTCGTTATAATCTGTTTGCCATAATGGATTAGATTTCAACTCCTGATTATCACCATCTTCATTATCTAATGCACCATACTCTATAGAAAACCAAGTTGCAAATTCAAACAACGTAATGTCGTTAATAATATCCGGCTGTGAAGGTCGCTCTGAATATCGATCAACTATGGTCTTCACAAAGTCATTCTCAGTAAGAGATTCAGCACTGATATTTTTGTTTTTTAATAGTCGATCTTCATCACATGGCAAAGATAAATAAATATGAACGGTAGCCATTGAACACCGATACAACGGAATACCTGTCAATGAAAAAAAACAATAATACTGCAAAAATTCACAAAATTACCTAAAACTATCCAAGCAGCTTCAATTTTCCCAATTTGCCTGTGTGACAGAACAGCGTTACCAGCCTTTAAGAGAATTTTTTTAGCTTCCTCGATTGTAGAACATGTACACCCAGCTAGTTTCTGAACCAGATCTTTCTCCATATGTGCTTCTTTGCTCACGTACGAAAACAGATATTCTGCTGCGGCCCATGGATCCGTTACGATTTGAATATCATGATTGCATTTAAACGTTTTAAGTAAGTTAACATTGTAAGGGACAATACGACGAGACTAAAAAGTTAAAAAAAAACAGTGACATTCACTAAAATTCAAAATTATTACTTCTTCGCTTATCCTTTTAATGATAATATCTCGATCACCACGAGTTAAAATTTTCGCTTCTTTGTACGTACGAAAATGAGTTTGAGAAGCTAATGGCTCAGGTTTCCCATATCGACATCCCGCTCGTTCAAAAAATTCTTTTCTGTCGAGCTTTGCCTGAAACATGTCAATGTCTTCATCCGGATTAACTTTCTCATAAATTTCATCTTCATGCTCTCGATTAAAATTACACGAAGTACTTGTTTCTTCTTCTGCTTTATTTTCTTTCGCATTCTTTAATTGTTTCTTCGCTCTGCGAATTTTCACAAATGGATGATCTTATAAAACAATTCAAAACAGAAATTGTACCAATTTCAATGTTATTACCTTTATTGCAACTAAATGTATGTATATGCCATTGAAACATTCGAACTAAGTAGAAAAGGACTGGGTCCGCATTAATATCAGGTAGTTCAGTTGTTAATAATCTATCAATAAACTTAATTATTGCTGCACGTCCTTCGCTAGTTTCAGTTGACGGTGCATTCTCTACCCATATCAAAGTATGTACATGAGGCAAACCATCCCTTTGAAATTCAACTTTCATAAAGTAATGCGATACAACGTAATCAATAAGAAATGGATATTTTTTATCCTTTATATATTCTTCAAAAGCTGCAATTCGACGTTTACACATACGTGCAACCAGTGCTGCATTTTGGTTTGCTAGTAGTAAATACTCATCACTAGATAAATTATTAATCGCATCCCATTTTGGATTTTTTGCTGAACCAAACTTTTCTGAGTCAATATGCGTCAAAAATTCAGTATCATTTTGTAAATTGATAGAAAGAAAAATAAACGGTTTTCCCAAAGTAGCATACATTGCTCGTAAATGCCTTCGTGCCTTATTCCAAAATGCAGATGAACCACGAATAACTGCACCAATATCTTTAGAAAAAAAGTTATCTATCTGTTTCTTTGTGTAAAATCTGTTATATCTATTATTCTCTTTCAAATTAGTATGAATATACCTGGATATATCAAATAACACATTTTCCCGTTTTGATACCTTTTCTTCACATGAAAATTAACTGATTTACGTAAGTCATCCCTTTGTAAAATATTAAGTGCTCGAAAAATCCATGTCGGATCTGCCTGCCATCGATTATCTGCTGATTTCAGTCTTAGTTTGTAATAATCTCGTAAATTTATTGTTAAAGGTCGTTCAGGATCAGCTTCACCACCTTTACCATATGGATACAACCAAGGATATGCTCGCTCTTCTAAAAATGGCTCAACTTGCCATATCGCATCTTTTGCACATGAGATAATTCGTCTAAAATACTTGATGAAAATGTATTATCATAGATCACAAATTACTTCGGACCGCATAAAACATCGGACGAGTTTATGAATGGTGCTGTTGTTGTTGAATTATTATACGCATAACTGTCGATTATTTTAATCGGACTTATGTTTTCACTTTGACATTTAAACAATAGTTGCATTTGGTCTACTGTCATTATTTCTTTTTCGAAATACAAATGATTGTGTTGCTTCAAATAAATTAACGCCTTTAATACTTGTACCGCACTGAATGAATACGTAACTGTCGTGGTGATTTCTTGATTCTTCGCCGGTTTTTCCTGCACAACTGCTAAGAATTCATGACATCGAGGAAACGGTAACAATTGATCAACTACTGCTTGTGAATCAACATGAAAATGGACTACTTGTCCTTTTAATGCAGCTTGATGGCCACGAACAAGAATAATGCTCATGTACACATGAGACAATGTAACTGCACGTTGTTCCATAAAACCTAACTTTAGTTCATCAGGAACTGCAGATATCTCCAACCAGTTTTTGTTGCGTGCAAACAAACAATGGGGACGATCCTGTGATGGAGTGAAGCGAATACACTTCTTACATAACAATTCTCCTTCAACGACATCATGTTCTAATTCGTGTTTAACCGCTGCAGTCTGCAACTGACTTTCAGCATGCAGTGCTCCACAACAACAGCAACGCAACCATGGCTGAAGAATTGATGAAAAGTATCTAATAAATATATCTCTGTTATCCAAATAACACAATTCACAAAAGCAAACAAACTTTTCATTGATTGCATTGTATATATCAACATTGTCTAAATGTTCTTCGATTTCCGGTTTAATATTCATACAGTCTAAACAATTTCAATGATATCGTGCATCTCAGTAAAGACGTAAAATTTACAAAGGTTTTCTAACTCAGGTAAATTATCTTCATGACTTTTTTCCTTTCGCCCTGTGTAATAATTCAACTCTTGTTTAGTTTTCTTTCGATTTTGTCTTGAAGGCTTTGAATTTCGATTACGTTTTGCCATCATAGATGGTTTCGAGTTTCGATTAGCTTTTTGTTTTTGTGATGGTTTTGAATTACGATTATTTTTTGCTCTCGCACATGCCTTAGAATTTCCAGTAGTTTTTTGTTTCTTTGATGGTTTGGAGTTTCGATTAGCTTTTTGTTTCTTTGATGGTTTGGAATTTCGATTAGCTTTTTGTTTCTTTGATGGTTTGGAATTTCGATTTGCTTTCCGTTTTTTGACGGTTTCTAAATTCGAAACAAGTTCGTGAATTACAGCCTTAATCGACGTTTCTGACGCAGTCGATTTTTTCGATTCACATTCATCATCTTTCATCTTTGTTTCGTTCATTATCTGAAACGTTCTCGATCTGTTTTATAACTGTTGCAAAGTTAATAATCACAAATATAAATATGAAAAGACAACCAAATTGCAAATTGTTCTGCACATGCGCCTTTTTGTTACATACGCTTCGCCCAAACAACCTCAAATTCATACTTAGATCAATCACGACTTACTTCGACGTGATAAATCGTATAGTCATATACATACTTGCTATCACTCTATGATCTCTTTGATTTTCAAGTTGTGGATAGGATTCTGACTATTTCGAACAGTTTTGCATAAGCGTGCACCCAACCCGACAAGATCCAATCGTTGAACTCCTCGTGATGGCTGAATCTTATAAATATGATTTCAAAGCTGAGATGCTCAATTTATTGCTTAACTGATAAAGTCAACCGAAACGAATCGATTCCATGTTAATTTATAATTAATCACAAAAAAACGTTCTGTTGTCATACTATGATAACTCTTACCTGGACAAAATGAGAATAAGTAAACCGACGAAAATTTGTCAGGACATGCGCAATTGATGAATATATATGTATAAAAAGTTATCGTTTCGTTTATTGAAAAACTGCAAGTTGAAATCAAATAAAAGCGTTCGGATTGCGTATTTGAACAAACTATCTAACCGTGTAATTACCATTACACAAATCTACAGTTAAACTATTTGGTTTTCTCGACCTGTCACATTCCAATCTATTTTATTTCATAGAAACATCAAAAATCGTCGAACATATTCGATTCTTCCAAACCAAAGAGAATTTTATATCGAAATTTCTGCTGAATATGAAAAAAGTCACAATTTCGACTCCAGATCAAATCACGATATTGATAATCGTTCATATTATTCGAATTGTCATTCAATAACGCCACAGGAAGTCCGTTCTCGCGGTTTTGGATTCGTTGAGTACGTAAGGGAAACCACTTGTTACTTATGTACAATGGAGTCATATCAAAGCGTTTGATATTAAATTGAATAGGATATAGCAATCGAAAACCTCGTCTTACATACTTTCCAATTCGAATAGCAACGGACGCAAAATCAGTGTCATCATCATGAAGACCATAATGAATCATAGTTCCTGTTCGAATTCCTTGCACAGCAGCCATTGTGCCATATAACCTGTTTCCATCGAACGAAAATTGACTGATATCAATGTCAAATTTTGTTAATAATTCATCTCGTGCATAGTTATCTTTGATAAATATAAATTGTAAATCAATAAATTCGGGTTGTTGCATCAGATCGATGATATATCGATTTGTGAACAATCGCAAATTGATTATTTTCTTTCCAAAACAAGCACTTCGTTTCACATAAAAATACTGACGGATTTTTTGTTCCATTGCATTCTAATAAAGAAAAAGTTCTTTTTGTTAAATCGTACAATCCGCTGCAAACAAACGCAACTTACGACAGAATTCACGTAATCTACATAGGATGGACCTTTGTAAAATAAATCAACATCTTGACCCAACGACACAAATAAATTCTTTCGCAGACTGCTCAATAAGCATCCACCAGCAATATGAAATTTCGAATAGTCAATCAAGTGACACCACCTAAAAAAAAAGAAAACGCAAATAATGACAACCGATTATTTTTCAGATGTTCGTTTGATCAAAAACACATTTGTCTACTTCATTGACATTAACATTCCTAATTCACAAATATTCCACATTCAAACCATCTGGAAAAAAATCATACAAGCATACAGGAGAAAGCTCACTCTCTAAATCTATGCGACAAAATTCTCTTTGCCGAATTTCCTAGATAGTAAATAATTCGTTGGTATATATAAGCAACATACATACCGACAAAAACAAAACTTCTCATTCATATTGTTTATAAACTCATCGAATGACTTAACGAATGACGGCTCTTCTGTTGATGTCGCACAAATATTGAACAGTTCTGATTCCAACCGATGCAACTTCCGTGGCAACAATAAATCATTGATTTTAAAAACATCGATCAATGCCTGTCGTGTTGAATAAATTGGTGGATTATATGAAACAAGACGGCAAAAAACTTCGTATTCCTGCTCGTTAAAATATTTAATCGCTGCTTGCAAAGACGAAGAAGAAAATCCACCGTAGATAAAAGAAGGCCATTTAACACAACAATTTGACATTGAAAAAATACCATCAGCATATTGAAAACGGTTCGGTTGCAATGCGATGAATTCATTGATCTCTTTTAACAAACTAATGTTTATCTGGCGACTAAAGAACTCTCGAAAATTAATCGGTACATGATTGATACAGTTTGCACTATCAAAGACGAATTCTTGTGATGCCATGGATCACACAATCGTTGTTTGTTGCGAGATATTTCTTTTTAAAACCAAATCAAATCGTTTTGAACAAACCAAATGGCAAAGCAAATCTTTGTTTTTGACAATTAGAACTGAACAATGAAAGCTAATCGAAAAATTCAGCGCAAAATCTTCTAAATAAAGCAACTCAACACTAATCATATCTCATCATACAAAATTTTGTGAAAATTAATTCACTCTAGTCTTTTTCTATGTAAATCTCCTGAAAAAGCAACAATTATCGTTGAAACGAATATAGAGAACAGAGTTTGAACGGCACACGTTTGTCTTTCATTGAGTCTGCCCCTGAACAACTGCAAAATCCACCCGATCTGTCGATTAGACTCTTCCCGATTCATTTTTCGTCCCAAACGGAGAAAATCATGAATGCTTATCATCTTTAAGCGATACTAAGATATTAATGGCATGCAGTTTGAGGGTGATATGTAACAAAAGTTCAAAGTCTCAAGAAATCTAATGTAACAAAACTCTTCATAACATAGAGAAATTGATTTTCAAAGATATTGCACGAGCTTGAATCGAAAAAATGAATGAACAGTCTCTTTGTCAGTAAAATCTGTGAATACTACCACAAGTTTTCAATATGACCAAGCGATACGAATCTAATTTCGTACGACCGGCTGTGAATATTCATCTGCTCTTCCGTTCTAGTATCCAGCCGGTTGGCACCTTAACTGCGATGCCAGAAAGGCTCCTACTGTCATCATCGCTTCCATCATTGTTTACAAAAGGAAATATGTTCGACAAGTTCTATAATATCCTTGTAATCTCATTTCAACTTGATCTTCGCTAATGAAAAAAAACCGCGCTGTCGTTGATGAATAATTGATTATTCGGTTTGAATCTGTCTCAGTAACAGTTTGCGAGATGAAACGCACAACAACTTGCGATGTTGCTGATACATCAGCATCTGCATCATTAACTTGCTTAAATGGCTATGTAATTCACATAAACAAAATAGCGAAAAACAGTTCGAATGAAAATCATCATTACTCTTTTCTTGTTTGCCTTGAAGATCAATCAACTGTTCGCGTTGTCAAATACTTAGGAAAAGCACCATCATGTTGTTTATATCAACAACTAAAAGAATCGTTGAAAAGTGGTAATGGTGCATCGATTACATCTCTACGAGAACAAAACGGACAGTTTGCGTGCACAGCGTCAACAAAAATACTCGAAAAAAAACTCGAATTTCGACCCGAATGTATAAAAACAGTCAGTCTTAGCAATCTACGAGGTTGCCATAAAGCTCAAATGTGCACAGTTGAAGTGAAAGTGTGTGAAATTCGTGATGCCGTTCAAGTTGCAATTGAACAAAACGAATTCAAACGTATTCAAAAATTGAAAAAATCGGTTGTTGTCGGCGATTCCACTGGTGCGTTAGAATTGACTCTATGGGAAAATCAATTCGATCAAATAACGTTAGGAACGTCATATCATATTCGTCTACTTAAGATACGCATGTTCAACGATCAAATTTCATTGAATGCAACGTCGGACACGTCGTACGTATTTAATCGCAATACATAAATCAACTGAATTGTTTTCATTCATTCTCAGTTTTATCAAAATTGATGATCTTCGCGAAGTTATCGAACAAATCGATAACAATCTAAATTCGTACAAATCGGATAAAGGTCAAATTGTCTTCGTCGAACCACTCGACAATCAATACAAATGCCAAGGTTGTGGTGACACCAATTTCAGCGAAAACGAAAACACAATCTCGTGTAATGATTGCCGATCTCGATTCCTAAAACAAGACACGATTCAAGACGATTTTATCAAAATCAAAATTGCAACATATGCCAATGAAGAATACAATCTCAAAGTTAACAAATCTCTCTTATCGGTATTGTTGAACAATAGTACTCTCTTGGGCACGACTGACACACAATCAAACAACTTCGAAGAAAATCTTGAAATAATCATAGGATTCAATGTTGAATTTGCTTATGATTATCACATCGGTTATATCAATGCTCTTGAAATAATAAATCAAAATCAACCAAAGGAAGAAAGTATCCATGACTTTTTTTTCTTTAATGAACGATTTTTATTTGTTTACATTTGTTTAGATCAACTATCTGCTTGAAAAATTTGTTCATCTCCCATCGTGTACTTTGCACAAAAACAATTTAGTCACAAACACTAAAACATTCAAAAACCTAATCTATTTTCTCGGAATTGATCATAGATTAAATAAAAAAATAAATCTCTTTTACTCTATCAGGCTGCCTGATGATCGTAACCCATCGATTGAAATCGGTGTCAATGCACTCCGTAGATCCAAACAATTCTCTATAGCTTTCTAAACTACTTGATCGTACGCATAACAACTGGTCGGTTTTGTAGAGAATACATTGTACCTCTAATCGTCATGCATTTGCTTGTCGAACAAACCGTACCAAAACTTTATCTTATAATATTCAAGACATGTCTAAAGACCAAATGAATGCACGTGAAATATTCATAATGAGTGTTGCATGAATACAAATTATGACTATTCAACGCAGACTCATATTTCTGCATACAATCTATCTGTTTTTTATCCACGCAATTTGTTTCTCTATACCGTTAAAGAGAAGTCTTCCTGCTTGTTGCTACCGTCACACAAAATATTCATAACAAAGCACAAATCCTCTAATTTAATTCTGACAAAAATCGGATTTTGAACTTCAAAACTACGAAAACCCATGAGAAATGTGAGTTCCACATTTTAGCCCCAAAGGGGCTACGCTGACAAGCTTTTCCTAAACAATGATAATACTCGTAGAATTATTTTTAATCAAGAGTAAAAACATGTTTTTCTATTCTTGTATCTATTATTGTTTCACAATTGGGCTAAAATAGTAGATATGATGACAAACCCTTTTAATAGTTCAGACTAATTAGTTTTCAATTCTATTTAGAAATATAAAAGAAAATCTACTCATTTAATTGAGTTCTTTTTTATGAATTCTCAAATTAAAAGAACCGAATATTCTTGTAAAAATATTTTGAATGAAAACTTGTAAATTGAAAAAAGAATTCATTTATTAAAAACTTCCATAAACTATCGCAGATATTTCACTTTCTCCAATAAAATATGAAGGAAATATTGTTAAAAGACCTTTTCTCACACGATTAACACAACATTTAACAAATTTTTCAATCATAAAAATCCAATTGGTTTTTCTCAAAAAAAATAGAATAATATAGAAAAACGTTAAATATCTTTTAAAACAAAATCACTTAGACGGTTCTATGTATTCTTTTGCGATTTAAATATCTGAGACAGATGTAAGTAGAATGAAATAAGCATAGCTCTGATAAGTAAGTTACGTTTTCTCAAAGTTCTGTCAGATATTCATACGACAATCCACTGTCGATTGATCTTCATATGGTGAGAGAAGCGTATGAGATTAACATTATTTCTCTCATCATTCAAAAACGTTATTACTGAAAAAATAAAATTATTTAAATGATTTTCGAACAAGTTTTCATGGAAATACTGTCATTGAAGTACTTTCCTTGCTTTTTTATTTGATTAACTAAATCTAT